ATTGAGGTAAAGTACATACATACAAGAGATGATACAAAAATTGATAGATTTATAGCTAGCTAGCTGGGAGGGTTGGGTTGCTGCCACATTATGTATAATTTATTATCCCCGAGCTATTCCACATTCCAAGAAGTTCTAATCCACGGATTAAAAAATTCCCAATAAACCCGGTAATGGGTAATGACACCTGCACTCATATTCCCTATTAATGATCTGCAACAACTCGCCAAGGTGTCGAGGAATGACTGAGGACAGGCTAAAGATGTAGCAAGAAGTTGCCATGAGACCAAAGGTGCTCATCCTGCCATATAAGGCAGCGAGCTGGGACCAGCATATGGTCAGGTGGATGGGTGGTGTACATGGGACCCAAGACCCGCAAGCCTCGCCCACTCCTTTATTCCAGCGTTGCCGCCCTGACCCCAGGCTCCAGCTCCTGGCCCCGACTCACTCCGCCAACATCCTCGTCTCCATCTATCTCGACACTGTCCAACCATTACTAACATCCGACTGCTGTAACCTAACTATATTAGATCAACATTAAACCCATTTTCTTTGAATGTTGTCACCTAAAATCATGTTACAGTTGTCTATGTTCCATCGGTTCGCTTAGAGCCACCATCAAAAAATGCATTTTTTATACATGTCAAATTGTGAGAAATGTCTACATGCCAACCACCATAACCCTCTGGATCACCATCCCTGCCACTACAGTCCTCTGGATCACCATCCCTGCCACTACAGTCCTCTGGATCACCATCCCTGCCACTACAGTCCTCTGGATCACCATCCCGCCACTACAGTCCTCTGGATCACCATCCCTGCCACTACAGTCCTCTGGATCACCATCCCGCCACTACAGTCCTCTGGATCACCATCCCCGCCACTACAGCCCTCTGGATCACCATCCCCGCCACTACAACCCTCTGGATCACCATCCCCGCCACTACAACCCTCTGGGTCACCATCCGGGCCACTACAGCCCTCTGGATCACCATCCCCGCCACTACAACCCTCTGGATCACCATCCCCGCCACAACAACCCTCTGGGTCACCATCCCCGCCACTACAGCCCTCTGGATCACCATCCCCGCCACTACAGCCCTCTGGATCACCATCCCCGCCACTACAGCCCTCTGGATCACCATCCCCGCCACTACAGCCCTCTGGATCACCATCCCCGCCACTACAGCCCTCTGGATCACCATCCCCGCCACTACAGCCCTCTGGATCACCATCCCCGCCACTACAGCCCTCTGGATCACCATCCCCGCCACTACAGCCCTCTGGGTCACCATCCGGGCCACTATAACCCTCTGGATCACCATCCCGCCACTACAGTCCTCTGGATCACCATGCCCGCCACTACAGCCCTCTGGATCACCATCCCCGCCACTACAGCCCTCTGGATCACCATCCCCGCCACTACAGCCCTCTGGGTCACCATCCGGGCCACTACAGCCCTCTGGATCACCATCCACGCCACTACAACCCTCTGGATCACCATCCCCGCCACTACAACCCTCTGGGTCACCATCCCCGCCACTACAGCCCTCTGGGTCACCATCCCCGCCACTACAGCCCTCTGGATCACCATCCCCGCCACTACAGCCCTCTGGATCACCATCCCCGCCACTACAGCCCTCTGGATCACCATCCCCGCCACTACAGCCCTCTGGATCACCATCCCCGCCACTACAGCCCTCTGGATCACCATCCCCGCCACTACAGCCCTCTGGATCACCATCCCCGCCACTACAGCCCTCTGGGTCACCATCCGGGCCACTATAACCCTCTGGATCACCATCCCCGCCACTACAGTCCTCTGGATCACCATCCCCGCCACTACAGCCCTCTGGATCACCATCCCCGCCACTACAGCCCTCTGGATCACCATCCCCGCCACTACAGCCCTCTGGATCACCATCCCCGCCACCACAGCCCTCTGGATCACCATCCCCGCCACTACAGCCCTCTGGATCACCATCCCCGCCACTACAACCCTCTGGACCACCATCCCCGCCACTATAGCCCTCTGGATCACCATCCCCGCCACTACAGCCCTCTGGATCACCATCCCCGCCACTACAACCCTCTGGATCACCATCCGGGCCACTATAGCCCTCTGGATCACCATCCCCGCCACTACAACCCTCTGGATCACCATCCGGGCCACTATAGCCCTCTGAATCGCCATCCCCGCCACTACAGCCCTCTGGATCACCATCCCGCCACCATAGCCCTCTGGATCACCATCCCTGCAACTATAGTCCTCTGGATCACCATCCCCGCCACCATAGCCCTCTGGATCACCATCCCTGCAACTATAGTCTTCTGGATCACCATCCCCACCACCATAGCCCTCTGGATCACCGTCCCTGCAACTATAGTCCTCTGGATCACCATCTCCGCCACTACAGCCCTCTGGATCACCATCTTCTCCTTTACAGTCCTCTGGATCACCATCCCCGCCACTACAACCCTCTGGATCACCATCCCGGCGATTACAACCCTCTGGATCACCATCCCCGCTACTACAGCCCTCTGGATCACCATCCCCGCCACTACAGCCCTCTGGATCACCATCCCCGCCACCACAGCCCTCTGGATCACCATCCCCGCCACTATAGCCCTCTGGATCACCATCCTCTCCTTTACAGTCCTCTGGATCACCATCCCCGCCACTACAACCCTCTGGATCACCATCCCGGCCATTACAACCCTCTGGATCACCATCCCCGCTACTACAGCCCTCTGGATCACCATCCCCGCCACCACAGCCCTCTGGATCACCATCCCCGCCACCACAGCCCTCTGGATCACCATCCCTGCCACCATAACCCTCTGGATCACCATCCCTGCCACCATAACCCTCTGGATCACCATCCCTGCCACCACAGCCCTCTGGATCACCATCCCTGCCACCATAATCCTCTGGATTACCATCCCTGCCACCATAACCCTCTGGATCACCATCCCTGCCACCATATAACCCTCTGGATCATCATCCCTGCCACCATAACCCTCTGGATCACCATCCCCGCCACTATAGCCCTCTGGATCATCATCCCTGCCACCATAACCCTCTGGATCACCATCCCTGCCACCATAACCCCCTGGATAACCATCCCTGCCACCATAATCCTCTGGATCACCATCCCTGACACCATAACCCTCTGGATCACCATCCCTGCCACCACAGCCCTCTGGATCACCATCCCTGCCACCATAATCTTCTGGATTACCATCCCTGCCACCATAACCCTCTGGATCACCATCCCTGCCACTATATAACCCTCTGGATCATCATCCCTGCCACCATAACCCTCTGGATCACCATCCCCGCCACTATAGCCCTCTGGATCATCATCCCTGCCACCATAACCCTCTGGATCACCATCCCTGCCACCATAACCCCTGGATAACCATCCCTGCCACCATAACCCCCTGGATAACCATCCCTGCCACCATAATCCTCTGGATCACCATCCCTGCCACCATAACCCTCTGGATCACCATCCCTGCCACCACAGCCCTCTGGATCACCATCCCTGCCACCATAATCCTCTGGATTACCATCCCTGCCACCATAACCCTCTGGATCACCATCCCTGCCACTATATAACCCTCTGGATCATCATCCCTGCCACCATAACCCTCTGGATCACCATCCCCGCCACTATAGCCCTCTGGATCACCATCCCTGCCACCATAACCCTCTGGATCACCATCCCTGCCACCATAACCCTCTGGATAACCATCCCTGCCACCATAACCCTCTGGATCACCATCCCTGCCACCATAACCCCCTGGATAACCATCCCTGCCACCATAACCCTCTGGATCACCATCCCCGCCACCATAGCCCTCTGGATCACCACAACCGCCACTACAGCCCTCTGGATCACCATCCCAGCCACCATAACCCTCTAGATCACCATCCCTGCCACCATAACCCTCTGGATCACCATCCCTGCCACCATAACCCTCTGGATCACCATCCCCGCCACCATAGCCCTCTGGATCACCACAACCGCCACTACAGCCCTCTGGATTACCATCCCTGCCACCATAACCCTCTGGATCACCATCCCTGCCACCATAACCCCCTGGATAACCATCCCTGCCACCATAACCCTCTGGATCACCAAACCATGGAATTTAACGCCAGCAACAGAGGACATGACCTCATTCCGCCTCCAGCTACCGAACCCTCCACATACAAGCCCACCCTCCTCCCTGGAGCAATGGTCACACTGGTATTAGCCACTCCTTTAGTTACAGCGCTGCAACTCCCTTGTCATTTGTGTCATGAATTACTGTAAGTATGAAATTAAGTAAGTGGGAGTGGCAGTGTTACACTTTCAGTGAACCATTCCTGGAGAGACTGCTGCTGCTACGTCCTGATTGGCTTATACTCTCCCTTCATTCCACCTTATACTGGGCAGTTTGGTTTTGGCAAGTTAATCATAATTTGGCCTGATGTTTAATTTTGATTTTTAGCTAAAGAGGTACAAGGTTAACAAAGAGGCGAGTACAACAGTCGTCAACCATCTCACAGAAGGAGTTGCGTGTTGGACGCGGTCGTGTTTGGGTGTGTTTTGAGTGAGCTCCCGCGGAGGTGGCCGGTGTCATGGCGGCGGCTGGAGGCGCACATGGCGTCTCTCGTACAACCATCGACGATACCTTAGAAGATGTTGGAAAACCATTACTGCATACCACAAAATTGAATCCTGAACGTCACCCGGTCATAGAAGAGGACCCCGAAGGAGAATTCATAGACAGCAAACACCATAGTAAGGCAAACAGACTGGAGGCAAAGCGCCGCCATTTATCAGAGGTAAACAGAAATGAGGCCGACGCCACGCGGCCTCAATATCCACACCCACCGCTCAACCAAGGTAGGCCAAGCTCTTCGGAGTTACAAACCTTTATCATTGCTTTTGAGGGCGAAAATGAGAATATTTTCCGAAATAGTAGGGCACAAAGCATCCTATATAATGCCATTCCCCACAAATTCGGAATCGACGTGCACGATATCAGACCAAACAAACTAAAGAACCTGATCGCAGTGGATCACAAACACAGCGCGGAACTGGAGATTTCAAACATTACTGACATCTGTGGTTACAAAGTTAGGTGCTATAAACCACTAGGAGACAGATTAGTGAAATATGTAATCCGGCATGTTGTAGACATCAGCGCAGAAGACATTAAGGCACAACTCGACACAAATGGCATCCCACTCTATGAAATAAAAAAATTTATGCGACGAACGAACGGAGAACTGAGTGATACAGGCACCGCCCTGCTTACTTTTCTGGACTACGTTCCCCCTGATAGGATTTGGTTAAACGGCTTCCTCCACAAACTAGAGGTGTATGTTCCGCGTCCCACCCAATGTTTTAAATGCAAGGGTTTTAACCATACCTCGAAGGGCTGCACTAAAGATATCAAATGTGGGAAATGCTCTGGTTCCCACTACACACAAACCTGTGCATCGGATACACTCACCTGCTCAAACTGTGGTGGCGAGCATGACATCACATTTAAACAATGTCCCTCTTACGTAGCAGCAGCAGCGAAAATGAAGGTTCCCCCTACCACCAACCTGCTATACAGCAGCGCATTAAAAAAACCTTCCTCAGCTCATCACCAACCTCTACCTCACACTCAACCACAACCTTCGCTTGTACCGGATATCCCTGTCTCCGACAATCCCGCAACCCCAGGGTCCAACCACCTCTCACAAAACGCGCAACTGAATCCTGATTTAGTTGAAACTCTCGTCACTCGCCTCGAAAATGATCTTATTGAAACGATCGTCACTCGCATCGAAAATGCACTGGAAAAGACCCTGGACCGACTCCTAACAAAATTTTTTGCCCAAGTACCACAACCCACCCCTGAGGCTGACCCAACAGACCCCCATCAACAGTTACGGACACTGACATCCGCCCAAATAAAGCTACCAATGCTGGACACACATTGTTTGATCAGATGATGGAAAAACTCCTAATTACCTCCTTAGCGCGCCTCACCAAAACCACTCCCCAGGCTGACGTGCCACAAACCCCAACCACCAGTACCAAGAGTAAGACACAGCCCCCATCCACATCTAGGTATCCAACTCGTACCACTATGAGCGCACCAAAGAAAACAGACACATCCACAACCCAAACATCCTAAATGGCTCCCCTAACCTTCATGACTTGGAACGCAAAAAGCATCAAAACATCCCTCACAGAACTTAAACAATTCCTCTACTCATCCAAACCGGACTTAGCATTCATCACCGAATCCTGGCTCACTCCCAAACAAAATCCCGTATTTAAAAACTTTCAGATGCAGAGACTGGACAGACCCAACCGTATGGGGGGTGGTATTTTCCTTCTAACACGAAGTAATATGACATGTAAACCTGTAACACTAACGTATTTTGTGAACGGTAAATTAGAAGTTCTAGCATGCCTAATACCTTATAATGGTACACACATATCCTTTCTGGGTATATACAACCCTGGAGGCACCATAAACTCAAATGAACTGGAATTTTATCTTAACCAATTACGACACCCGATCATTGTTACAGGTGATCTCAATGCTAACCACCCCACATGGAGTAGAGGTACCCAAAATACTGCAGGCACCGATTTGTACAACTACTTGGACACTACACCATATACTCTTCTTTCGCCGCCCTACCTTGCAACCTACTTTAACTACAGAACCAATTATGAAGCCTCACTGGACATCTGCTTTGGCTCTGCACACTTTCAACATGAACTACAGTTTCATACTGGACCAGATATTGGTAGTGACCACAAACCCCTCATAATAAAATTTACTAACTTTCACCCACCAACCCACCCGCTTACGCTTCCCAAGTGGAACATAAAGTACCTAGACAAGAAAAAATGGGCTGATATTGTCCGCCTCCCAGACACAGATGAAGTAGACCCTAACAAGCGCCTGTCCACAATCACCTCGGCCATAAATTCTGCAGCCACCCAAATGCTTAAGAAAACTTCAGGACATAGGTCCAACAAACCACTTAAACCGTGGTGGAACGCGGAATGTGCACGAACAGTCGCTTTACGCCGACGAGCCATTCAAAAACAAAGACGTCAACCCTCCCTACAGAACTGGGTCAATCTCCGGCGGGCTACAGCAGCGGCCAAAAAAACCA